AATATTTATTTTGAATAATACAAAAATGTGGCACAAGGCCAAAGGGGGCAGATAGGGGAAGGCTGGCCTTCAGTCTGTCTTATCTTAAACTTAGCTAGCCACAATTACTGATCCAAAATATACCAGATTATTCCTTACACCAAAACAACACATTCTTACTTACCATTGTTACTACAGTCACCATAATACCTCAAAGTCTCTATGTGGTCCTAAATAGTTCCCATATGGACAATTTGTCTGTGAAGGATGAGTAATAAAAATAACAACATTTAAAATGAAACACCAATGGCTATTTCCAAAAAAAAAGGAAAGCTCACCAGAACAATTACTGTGAAAATATTTATAGAAAAGGCACAGGGAAGCTATGTTATGACAGTGGGAAAATGACTTCAGTCATTTTCCCACTGTCATAGGAAGATGCCAGGTCAAGACCAATAACATTGCAGATTCCTCTTTGAATTTTGTCAAGAACCTCTAGATAAAGACCTAATGTGGTAGCAATATTTAAAGTACAGACAAATGGTAGACTTATAAAGGTGTCAGATTTTAGCAAGAAAAATTGACTAGAATGACAGTGAACCAAATTTCCTACAGAGTCATTCCACTTCATGTGAAATGGATAAAGAGAAAGGTAAAACAACACTGGAAATTGCAAAAAACAATTGGCAGGTATCACTGAACTAATGCTGGATTTACCTATACACTTATCAAGAGGAAGCCTAGGGCCTGAAAATTTAAGGGGCCTCCAGCCAAGGTGTATAATATTTTTGACACTGCCATAGGCCTTTTTTATGCATGCTGTCATAATGCATTGTAGACTCTAAACAACCCTTCAGTAATTTTAAACACCTGTCATCATCCTCGGCTTTACTCAAATGGTTTAATTTAACACACTTTCTTTATTCGTGAGAATGCAAGATTTGAAGGGGCCTCACAAGTGGAATAGGGCCTCTCATCATCTAAATTCAGTCCTGCACTGAACTATGAAGAAGTTTGTTGAAGTTCTTGGACAACTTCAGGTCAGATAAGAGCAAGTTAAGGATTTTCTTTCACCCATTTATGTTCTATATCAAGAGAGAAGTTATATAAATTCATCTTTGTCAAGCTGTGAAATGTAGGTATTGTGTCAAAGAGGAAGTTTTGAAAAGAACAGGATTTTTTTTGGAGGTGGGGTCGTTATCAAGTGGTAAAACATGTTAGACTGAATTCTAAGCCTCCTTTAAAAGACATCCTAAAGGAAAATTAATGAAATGGGTAAGAATACATGAAGACTAATTTGTCAACCTTTTTTTTTCATTACCAAATGCTCAGTGGACTAAACAGAACAAAAGTTGGATAGCAACTATCAGAAACACAGAAACACACCTCTCACAAGTTTAGACTTCAACAAAACAGAACTAGTGTGATATTTGGAATGAGATTGTAAGCAGTGAGCCCATGGACATTTCATGGCAGCTCAAACAAATATTAAATTTTTTTTTGAAGGCACACACAGAAGCATGATTCAAGAAGAAATGAAACAATTTCAGAAAGATTATGATTTTTCATGCATGTCAAAGAAGCCAAATGAACACTGTAATAAAATGAATTTCAAAGACACTTGATGAAGTGACCAGCTTATTTGCTCAATCTTAACTGACTAAAAACTTGTGGAGTATTCTAAAGATGAAGATTTATGTTGGTGGACAGATCAAAGATGACTTTGGAATGCTATTTTGGATGTTATGCAGTCTGTTTCATATAAAGAAATACAACAGCTCACAAAATCAATGACTGGACAACCAAAGTTTCCACTAGTTTCAGAACATGGAGCTTACATTTCACATGAATGTTGATTTCATAATTTTGTCATCATTACATTGACACGTAACAGTTTACCGACCCAGAAATCAACATTTCATATGTAGAAATGTAAAGAAGACAGAAAATTAAAACCAGGTTTGGTAAATTCAGCACTAGCTTCAGAAGGGTATGAACTCTGGACCAGAAATTGATAGAAGGAAATCATAAATATTGATAGCTGATAAAGTAAAGTTAATGTATTTTCAGATGCAGATATCAGTGCAAAATGCCTTTTCAGCCAGAACAGGATTGGTGTGCTGATAGGTGGCACTTAGATATGTTTTATTTTATGAACTCCACCTGGGTGGTCACAGTGTTTGTTTGAAAAGGGTTAGTACAAGATTTGAAAGCAGGTAAGGGTGAAATTAATTTGAAACTAGGGAATAGAGAGAAAACAGATGTTTCTTTTCTTTGACAGATATCTTCAGTTTTTATAATTATCAATGTTTTCAATTTCTGACTAGGCAGGGAGCAGAAGTCCTTTACTAGTGGGTGGGTCAGTCAGTTAACTTACAGAAATATGGAGATAATGAAATGTGAGTTATGAGCATTGTCATTTTCTGGGGCCTGGCTAGGTAAAGTGAAGTCATTAATCATTGTTATTGGGAAAGATTTCCTTATATAAGCCAGTGCATATTTCACTTGGCTGTCATTTTTTATGAGAGTAGGAAAAAGATTAGGTTTGATGATACACTCACATTTCACCAAACACACAGAAATGGTGAATACAGAGGAACTTCAATTTTTTTTTTCTCTTTACATTAAATTATGTTAAGTCTACAGAATACACTTAGTTCATTTATCAAAGAATTTTTCTCCTCCTCAAGCCACTGGCACTCAATCATAACCAGAAGCAACCCCCTGGCTGTGCTGGAAATCAATTTTATTGATTTTCTCCAAGGACACTACGACAGAATTTGGATCTAACTACTGATGATTGTCGTCAAACAGACAAGCAGAATTGAGAAAGGCTTAATCTTTGCACAAGTGAAGCAGGACAAAGAAATCTACCAGCCTTGTTGACATACTGACAAATTACCCAATCCACTCAATTATAGCTGGTGCAGCAAAGCAACCAAGTGGCAAGTTGACCACACCCCAATTCACCCTATTATAGACAAATTTTAAAATTTTTGTTAAAAAAAAATTGTAAATTTTTGTACATATTTTGTAATTATGACTTTTAATGACAATTTTTTTTTTTGAGTTTGAATAACTTAGCCAAGAATGTGAAACTTGGTAAATCCAGTGAAATTCATAAGACTTTTGCTGCCACATCATCTGACTATTATCTCATTTCCTTTATATGTATTAAATGAAAAATTCTGAACATTAATCATGTAAATGTTTCCATGAATTCCTTCATTTGTTTTCTAAAAGGTAGGAAAAATTAGAAGTGGGTAATAACATGAAATACAATGTATTTTATCCCAGAAGAAAATATTATTTCACCATTTAAATTGTGGAAAATGGTTTCTTTGAAAGATCAAATGAAAAAGAAGATACCCTCAGTGTTGGAGAAAAGAATAGAAGCTGATGCTTCCTAAAAAGTTCTGAATTACTATGTTTTATCATGGCTCAAGGACAGCTATCTAGAGAGCGACAATATGTAGATCTGGGATAGTACTCTCAGACACACAAAGAAGCTATAATTTGCTGATTTTTGGCCAGCAAACTTGTGGCTCTCCTTCAACTTTGACCTGAACCTGCTAGATTACATACTGGACCTGGACTCGAACCCACTAGATTATACTGTGTTGGCATTTTGTAGCAGACCACCAATTTCTCACAGCTCAGCATTAATAGCCTCAAGGCTACCATCAAGTCAAGATGTCCAAAGACTTGATGATTAAGAATTACACAGATTTTGTAGATCATGTAATTGGAAATAATGAAAGATGTTAAATAAATGTTACATTTTGATATTATCTCATGTTTTTATTAATTTCATTTTTTTCTTTTACTAATATCCACCCTATACAAGGCCCAAGGGCCACTCAAAGTAAAGGTTACTGAAGGCAGTTGTTGTGTGATAGATAACAGTTAGCCGTAGACTTGAAGAGATTAAGATTGTAGCGGTTGGGAAAGCATCCTCCAGTTTTGGGGAGGAAGCTATCTGAGAGGAACTTCCTCCTTATTAATGAAATACAAAGGGAATGAGGGTGGTTTGCCTCAATGTATATGGTGTGGTGGGTCTTAGCTGAGAGGATTAGAGTTGGGGGAGCTAAAGAATGTAGCTTGTTTGAACATTTTCCATGGAAATAGTGATTGAGTAACACAAGAGGCTTGCAATTTGTTTTGGGGCAAAGGGTTGTAACGTAGCAAACAATTCATCACCCACAAGGCTGGAAAGTGAAGACTAGGAACCTCTAGCCCAGATATGGCGGAAGTAGTCTGTTTTCAGTTTGATTTGTCTCTTGTAAATGTAGAGAATAGCAGGAGGGGTCCAGTACTTACTGGAGTTGTACGGGGAATCAAATCTCATGAATCAACCAATTTATGCAAAATGTGGGAATTTTGAGACTTTCCATTGCTAATGATTTTACTATAGGAATACATTGAAAATCAGAAAGAAAGGGATTGTCAGTTGTCAGGAATTAAGGTAAGCATTACTGATAGAATAGGGCTATTATATGTATAAGGTAAATGCATTGCTAATGATTTTACTATAGGAATGCATTGAAAATCAGGAAGAAAGGGATTGTCAGTGGTCAGGAATGAATGCAAGCATTACTGATAGAATAGGGCTCTTATATGTATAATGTAAATGCATTGCTAATGATTTTACTATACGAATGCATTGAAAATCAGGAACAAAGGGATTGTCAGTGGTCAGGAATGAAGGCAAGCATTACTGATAGAATAGGGCTAATATAAATAATTTTTGCAATATTTTATAAACTATACCTTCTATAAAATAGTTAATGCTATCCTTTAATCAAACACAAATTTTTCTTGTTAATGTGGTTCTTTTGTATCATAGAATTTTCAACAATTGGACAAAAACCTCATCACTTGTTACTTTATATTTGTATCTTTTCACACATTTTGAATGAATAGTCAAACTGTCATGGAATAATTCTACTTTATAATGTTACTTTAATGAATAATAATGATAAATAATATGGATATGTTTTTTTTTTTTTTGTCAATTGCAGAATACTGGAAGCAGAAGAGAAATGTCCAATGTGTGCTGAGACAGTTTCAATTGCCCGTCTGAAGAACATCAGTGATCCTAATATCTTTTTATACACTGAAGAATCCAGTGCCTAATTCTTGATTGGATGACGTTTACACTTCACTATTTGAAAAACCATTCATTTTAATCCCTAATTTCCTTATTCTAACATTTTATTTTCATCCATTTACTACACCTCACTATTTACAGGGGTCAGCTGGAAAGTAACTCTGTCCACCCTCCTTAATTGAGAGAAAATTAAAGGACCCTAATATGAAAGAGAAAGTTACATTATTTGGGCACATGAGAGAGTCAGCTGGAAAATTCATTGGCTGACCAAGATATAAATATAAGTCGACACACCACTTGGCAGACTAAATGACATGCAAGTGTACCAGAATGAAAGTGGAAAGTGAATGAAATCTAAAGATTTATTTACTGAACAACAGCAATGTATAGTATATTTGCTTGATTAAGTATTCCCACCATCAAGAAATCATTCTTAAATAGACATTCCCTCAAAAAAAATCACCTCTGCACCATCAGGAAAATCTGTGATTTTGATTTCAAATAAGTACCTGTGTAAGATTTGATTATATCAACTTACAAGAGCAGGACAAATTAAAAAGACATGGTTTCATTTTCGTCTAACTATTTAAAGAATAGCTTACAGTCATTTCATGTTGAAACATTGGTTCCTGTGTGATCACCAAAGTTAAGCAATGTCAAGCCTGGTCATTATCTAGATGGGTGACTGCTTGGGAATACCAGGTGATGTAAACTTGGATGTGCAAGTGGCTTAATAATGTTTCACAATTGTTAAGCAGAAAACCGAGTTCCAATTCCAGTTGGGTTCATTATATTCACTTATGTGAAAAATACCTTTGGGAAAGCTATGAATCCACTTCTTCTCCTCCAAGCTATGGGTTAATTAGTAAAATTTGTATCACTAAATCATTATTATCCACCCCACCCTCCACAAAAAAGATTCTTACACTCTAAAAAAATATTTTCTGGCTTTAAATAACCTGCAAAGGGTTGATAAGCCATAGAAAATGAATCAATCAATATGTAAAGAATAAAAGAAAATAATTGTAATATACGAGGATGACCAGCTGTCGTATTCTGGTACACTTGCATGTTTTTTAGTCTGCCAACTGGTATGCCTACTTACATTTATATCTTGGTCAACCTATGAACTTTACAGCTGATCCTTGCATGTTAAATTATTCATTACCTGTTTTTGGCACCATATGCCAGGCCACAAATATCAGTTAAACATTGACAATAGTTCCATCAACTGAGTCACAAGTCCGTGCCCCACAGAAAGAAGGAAATGAAATCAGGGAACCTTTCAATAAAGTATTATCCATCCTTTAGTACTGTGGGGCAATGTCAGAGCATTAGCAGCTGTAGGCTTCTTCAAACGCCCCCCCCCCATTTAAAATATAAATATATAATTTAGTTTTTAATTTTCTTGTTCTATATTGTCTTTAGCGTTATGTGTGGTTTTTATAGGATAAATAAAAATGAAAAAACAATTTTTTATTTTGATAAATCTAATTAAAAGGCCAATATTAAAAAAATTAATTTGTAAGCTTGAAAAAATTCAAATCTGCAAAAATAGGTTTCATTTAATTTTCAGTATGATCTGTTAAAAATTAGGATCAATCAAATGCCTGTCTTTTTTTTTTATTTTCACATTCCAAGCAATAAACAAAACAATCTTTACAGCATTAAAATCCCCACAAGAGTTGATATGCTGGTAAATCAAACAAACTAAACTTTACAGTCAATGTACTTGTAATTCACAGAAATATAACTAAAACCAGAAACTCCTTGTACAGTTCAACCACTTTAATCTGGCACTCCATGGTCCGGTAACTTTTAAATCAGCTACCATTAGTTCATTTATTTTCAATATGATATTTTAAAACAATTTATGATCAATTTGACACATTCTCCACTTTTCTTTTTTCCTCCACTGAACAAGGTTACTTGTGGTCTTTGCAGATGTTTTTACTGCAATTATTACAGCCAGTCTTTACTTTTGAGTAATATGCTTGTAATTCATAAAAAATAATGACTAAATCCAGAATCTCCTTTTTAATATATATATATATATATATATATATAATTAGTATTTTGAGGTCTTCAAACACTGTATAAAATATAAATATATCATTTAGTTTTTAATTTTCTTGTCCTATATTGTCTTTATTGTTCTGTGTGGTTTTTATAGGATAAATAAAAATGAGAAAGCAAAAATCTTTATTTTGATAAATCTAATTAAAAGGCCAACATTAAAAAAATGAATTTCTAAGTTTCAAAAATTCAATCTGCAAAAAATAAGTTTAATTTTATTTTTAGTGTGATCTGTTAAAACAATTTATAAAAATAATCTGAATCTGCAACAGATTTTTTAACCCCCACATTCTAAATGCTGAACAAGAAGGTTACTTGTAATCTTTGCAAACATTTCTACCGCAAATATTATGGACATTCTTTACCTTAGGATCATTTGCTTGTAATTCATACAAATATGATGACTAAAACTCCTTGTAGAAACTTGACTCTACCCAGAGAGTACTGCAAGACAGGAGGATTTCTTTGGTGACAAAGAAAAGATTACTGAGCTGTCCTCCTAATGTTGAACAGTCTCCTCAAAGATGAAGAAGAGACTCAAGGCAGCGGAGATGTGGCTCTACAGAAAGATGCTGAGGATATCATGGAGCATGCATGAGGTCTTGGAGAGGATGCAAACAAGGAGGAAGCTTATACTTGACATAAGGAAGAGGCAGATGAAATTTCTGGGACACATAATGAGAAAGGAGGGCCTGGAGAATCTGATACTCACAGGTCGAATAGAGGGAAAAAGAGACATGGGAAAGCAACACATGACATACTTGGTGGGCTTAAGCAAGTGGATGGCAGAACGTGGTCTGGGGGAGTTGGCAGAGGCATGATACTTATTGAGAGCCACAAGGGATAGGGGTAAGTGGAGAGCCATGATTGCCTATGTCCTGAAAGGCCACAGCACATAAAAAGAAAGAAAGAAATAACTTGACAGAGATTTTCAGAAAGCTGCTTGATTAATCATAAAAATTTTACTTTCCACTGCTTAAGGACCAAAAGTTGTTTGTCGAATGTTCAAAAATCGCATTGTACTAATGAAGAGCTAAAAGATAATAACTAAGATAATAAGGTAATAAAGCCACTAAGACGCAAGGGATTACTGGGTGTGGAAGAATTAGAAAACAGAAACATTACTAAGAAGCGAGAACAATAGAAGCATAATCAGATGGACAGAAGATCTCAGTTAACATTGCATTTAAATTTTTGAAGATTATATATATATATATATATATTGTGTTCAACCCATGCAAGGCAGTAAAGCCACTAAGACACAAGGGGTTACTGGGTGTGGAAGAATTAGAAAACAGAAACATTACTAAGAAGCGAGAACAATAGAAGCATAATCAGATGGACAGAAGATCTCAGTTAACATTGCATTTAAATTTTTGAAGATTATATATATATATATATATATATATATATTCAACCATATAAAGGCAGTAAAGCCACTAAGACACAAAGGGGTTACTGGGTGTGGAAGAATTAGAAAACAGAAACATTACTAAGAAGCGAGAACAATAGAAGCATAATCAGATGGACAGAAGATCTCAGTTAACATTGCATTTAAATTTTTGAAGATTATATATATATATATATATATTGTGTTCAACCCATGGGGCAGTAAAACCACTAAGACACAAGGGGTTACTGGGTGTGGAAGAATTAGAAAACAGAAACATTACTAAGAAGCGAGAACAATAGAAGCATAATCAGATGGACAGAAGATCTCAGTTAACATTGCATTTAAATTTTTGAAGATTATATATATATATATATATATATATATATATATATATTGTGTTCAACCCATGCAAGGCAGTAAAGCCACTAAGACACAAGGGGTTACTGGGTGTGGAAGAATTAGAAAACAGAAACATTACTAAGAAGCGAGAACAATAGAAGCATAATCAGATGGACAGAAGATCTCAGATAACATTGCATTTAAATTTTTTGAAGATTATATATATATATATATATATATATATATATATATATATATATATTTTTTAATTGTGTTCAACCCATGCAAGGCAGTAAAAGCCACTAAGACACAAGGGGTTACTGGGTGTGGAAGAATTAGAAAACAGAAACATTACTAAGAAGCGAGAACAATAGAAGCATAATCAATTAAGATGTAGAATGAATTGGCCCAAATGTTATATCAATAGTTCCCAAACTTTCCTTACTAACTGAGCACTTAATGACCTATTACTATAAATAATATATTTAATGGGTACATGTGTTTGAGTAGACATCGCTTTTTTTTTTTTTTTTTTTTTTTTTTTTTAACAGTGGAATTAATGTTGACTATCTTAAAAATTGAGAGTCCTAATAATGATAAGAAAAGAAAATACAGGTTTGATTCCTGTTTGGAGGTGGCGAGCAAATTTTTTTTATGACTTTCAATCTCTAGGTCTGTAGAAATTCAATTCACTGTTTACAAAAAAAAAACAGGTATGTCTAGCTCAAACACACACACCCACTAGTGTTTGAGCCTTTTAAATTATATTATATATATATATATATATATATATATATATATATATATATATATATATATAATTATTTACTCGAAAATTATAACATAAATATGAATAGAATAATAGAACACTATCACTTGATAAGACACCAGAAGTGTTGATACAAAATAGCTATTTTTGTAGTGATTTTATAACATATTTATGTTATAATTCTTGAATAGATAATTATATTTGCTCTACTCTGTATTGAGCACTCGTTTAAGAATAGTATTTGTTGGTTATTGAATTTATTCCATATACCAATCATATACTTGTATATATATATATATATATATATATATATATATAGATAGATAGTGTATTTGGGCAGCAATTCCTATTTCATACAGGTTTCATTGAAGTTGACTGGCATGGCACTGAGATTAAGTTTTTTATTATATTTTTCTTGCATTCTTACAAGAGATTTCTTTTTTGGAAAT